TCCGCCGAATCGATATCCTCGTCCGACGCCTAGTTCAACTCTTCAATGAAGTTTTCTTTTTTGACCTGCTTGCGGGTGTATACAAACCCAGCGGTGACGAGTAAGTACGCAGGGTGAGGAAGTAACTTTTATTGCCGAGTTGAACTCGGAGTGGGACGACGATATCGATTCGACGGGCGGAGACTACGAGGACGACGACATCGAGTATATAGACGACGGTCTAAATCAAACGGTTGCGAAGAAATAGTAGATAGGGAGAGGAAATTTTCCACTCCGCCTGTCGATGCTGGATAAATCTATCAACATATGTCAAGGACTTGTAACTGCTGTGGAAGCGATGCATTTGTTGTGTTCTTTGTGCAGGAAAAAAAAAAAGAACAAGAGTTACACTACTGTACTGTGCGCACTGGGTTGGAAAAATGGCAGCCCGACGCACTTCATTACTCAGTGCTCGCCTCACAGTTACCCGTTCGTAGTCAAGGCTTAGAGGCTGCTGTTCAACCCACTTGTTGTGAGCCTTTCTCGTATTCATAGCCAGGCGGGGAGTGTGCGCACGTGGGAATGCGTCGGATTGTACACGGAGTTAGCTCGTTTTCCGTGGTGTCCAGTTTGAAAATTTCAAGATTTCCCGATTGGAAATTCATGATATACATCTTGTCTCTGCTTTTTCTCTCACTTTGTGGCACTGCGTGGGGAGATCGACGATTAGCGAGCGCGAATGCGATGCTCCTTGCGAGGGGACGCTATCGAGATCATGAGATCATCCTCGTCCTCGGAGGAGGCGCGTTCTCTCTGTCGAAGATTACGCTATGTGTCTCCGCGTCTGCAGCACGCGCCCAGAGTACTGATGAAGCCGACCAAGATGCGAAGGAGCTTGCTGCCATCGCGGTGGTGGCGACCCAAGCCAACTCGGCTGCCGTCCGTGAATACCACACGCTCATCTCGAAGAACCGTTCGGGCAACGGTTCTCGAACCGTTCTTCGAGATGCATGTGTAGGCATATGCGATTTGATTGTCACGGACCGCGGCTGAGTTGGCTTGGATCGCCACCGCCGTGGTGGCGGCAAGCTCCTGCGCATCTTGGTCGGCTTCAAAACACTCTTGAGCGCGTGCTGCAGACGCGGCACGCTGGCGCGGAATGCTTGTTTGGTCCGCGCGCATAGCAATCCCTAAAGGTACTGTTGAGGAATACCGCTTGTTGACGAAACTTTTTTGGAAAGCAGTGCTTGCTGGTGGTTCTTCGCCTTCTTTGGTAGATTTAACAAAGGGAGTGGCGACATCTCCTTGCAGGAGGGGCTGTTAAGGCGACATCCCCGGGTAGTTGTATCCTATCAGATGTACAAAGGTTCATCGTCGGATCATCGTCGTGAAGTGAACAAAAGGGGGGGGGGGGT